TAAATTCATGTATTTCATAATATAAATGAATTATTTTGATTTTCTGCTTCCATTTTTCTGATATATAAGTGTGATATACCTATATATACCGACTGATCAATTCGACCGGTCGTCATTTTTAATGTTTCTAATTTGAAAATTTCTTAGAAATTACGTCAATCCGCTACTGCGACTGTTACAAAATATATTTTCTTTAATTTAAATGTGATAACATAAACATAATAATAATTAGAAGGTTTTAAATGAAAGACGGTTATACTATGATAATTACGTACAATAAACAAAATAAATAGAAGGTTTTGAAAAGAGAGACGATTATACGGTGATAAAAGAATAGAGGGGACAAATATGACGAAATAATGTCCTACATATATAAGAATACAGCGAGCACGCGTAAATAACTAATCTACAATTTTTATTCAGTCTTGTAACTCTATTCTAGAAATGCCGAGAAAAAAAACCTGAAATTTTAGAAGTCGTAACAAATATAAGAGAAGATCTTTCGGATATAAACCAAGATGATTTTGATTCTGAAATTGRRCCAGCAGATATCAATCAGATGWAGTGTGTATTTTCTCAGACAGCAATAGTGAAAAAGAGAACATCCTGAATGTACCTAGACCAAGAAGACTTTTTAGATTGTCGTAATCTTTRGATGAGAATAACCGTCGAAAAGCTGAAATTGCTGCTGATGGAAWTATCTAGATAAAAATAAAACCTTGATCCACTCCAGGAAGAAGATCAATAAATAGTATTTTCAAAGCAGTAACTGGACCAACAGCATATACAAAACAAAGTAAAATGAAGGGCAGTGTTAGTTCTTTGTTTTTGATAATCAATCGACGAATGATAGATCATATCAGAACATGCACAAAACTAGAAGCTTTCCGAGTTTTTGGTGAAAAATGGGATCTATCTCAAAAAAAGTYTTACGCTTTTCTTGGAATTTTATATGCACGTGCTGCTTATGAAGCAAAGAATTTAAAATTATCTTATTTATGGTCTAAAAAGTTRRGACCAGCGCATTTTTCAAGAACTATGAGTAGAAAGGAGTTTACGGATATTTTAAGATTTATCCGCTTCGAAAAAAAATGAACTGAGTATACGATTGCAAACGGATAAATTTGCAATGATTTCAAATGTTTGGTATTCATTCGATGAAAATAGCCAGAATTGTTACGCACCAAGATAAAATATAACAGTCGACGAACAACTTCCCAAGTAAAGCAAGATGCCATGCCGATTCATGCAGTATATGCCGAACAAACCCGATAAGTTCGGAATAAATTTTTGGTTGGCATCTGATGTCCAAAGTAAATTTATAATTAATTGGTTTCCGTACTTGGGAAAGGACAAAACTAGACAGTCATCAATTCCTTTTAATGAGTTTGTCGTCCTGAAGTTAATTGAACCATTTACCGGTGCTGAAAAAAGTGTAACAACCGATAATTTTTTTACTAGCAAATCACTGGCATCAAAATTATTGGAAAAACGARCTACTTTGATTGGAATGATTCGTGCAAATAAAAAAAAATTGCCGAAACTGGCCAAACAAAAAAAAGATTATGTACCTCGATTTTCATCTGAAATATATAAAACAGATAATTGCACTTTAACAGTATATTAAAGTAAGCCAACGAAAAAAGTACTACTACTGAGTACGAAACATAATTCAGTGAATATTAAAAAAAAACATAAAAAACTGCTTAAAACCATAATTTTTTATAATAAAACCAAATTCAGGGTAGACATGACGGATCAGATGGCCAGAAAGTACAGGATGAAGTAAGGATTTCGAAGGTGGCCTCTTCAATTATTTTTTAACATTCTCGACTTAGCAGTAATAAATGCCTGGGTTTTATATAACGAAACAATTGGTGAAATATATTGATAATTTGTTTCAATTAGCAGAAGAACTTAGCGCAGAGTATAAAGATCCATCTGAACTGAAAAACTKGAATGACCTCTTGAATATTCCAAAGAATTCTAATATACGAAAAACTTGCCAAGTAGGTTTTTGTAATRAAAATAAAACTATGAATATATGTGCTAGCCGTAAGAAACATGTTTCTGGTAAATGTACATTGAAAAAAATGTCTTTATGTAAAAATTGTTGTAATCAAAATAATAACTAAGCCTAAATAAAAAACAAATAATATTACTACCTTTAATGTAAATAGATGTATATATTACGTATATATATAWAATTGCAATATATTAAAATAAAATATATTTTATTTTCTTTAAAACTTTTCTTTGAACTTTTATATTTGGCCAACTAAATCGCACGGGTCAAAATGACCGGTTTGGTAAAAATAATAATRTAACAATTGTTGGTAGTTCTACTGTTAATCCTTTAATATGTTCATAGGTWTACTTTATTTTTCTATGAAAGRATAAATACATTATTTTTTATTTCTTTTTAAARGATTCATCAATTTATGCTAAATTTTCTATATGCATGCATCTTTTTGATTTGACGTAAAAGACATATTTGTATATTAATGTTTATCAGTTGACAATTTTGAAAGTTTTAAATAGAAATAAAATATGAAGACTTATGGAGACTTTGTTTACAGTCGGGAATATCCCGTACGAAGCAACCGAGGAGAACTTGAAAGATATATTCAGCAAAGTTGGCCCAGTACTTTCCTTCAAGTAAATCTTCTCATTAATTTTTCTTAGAAAACAAATTGTTATTGTTTTCTCTCATTGATGATGCATTATCTAACAATAMAGAATTTTTCTGGTATATGAATTAAATGTCTGTAATAAWTAAAATCTTAAATTATTTGTAGATTGAGATGTGATCGTGAGATAGGGAAGCCTAAAGGTTATGGTTTCTGCGAATACAAGAATCAAGAGACAGCACTTAGTGCGATAGAAAATTTAAATGGTTACAARATTGGTGAAAGAACGCTATGCGTAAGCATTGCGTGTACAAAAAAGAGTCGTATAGAAATGCAGAGTCYTTTACAGGGACATAAAACTGAGAATCTGAATGGAGATGCAGTTCAAGCTGACAAAACTCCCGAAGCAATTAGTAAAGCAGTAACTTTCCTTCCACCTGAAAAAATGTTTGAATTAATGCAACACATGAAGATATGTGTGCAGAATAATCCTAATYAAGTACGACAGATGTTACTTCAGAATCCACAACTTGCCTATGCTTTATTACAAATACAGTTAGTAATGCGAATAGTGGATTCTCATACTGCTGTTAGTATGCTACGTAAAGCTAATCCAAACCTAAGCGTTTTGACACCTTCAGAAAAGCCAGTGATACATGAGATTTCACCTCGTATYRAAGAACCATCAACAGCAGCAAGACCTACACTAGTAGTTGCCAATCCTTTTGTACCTATTTTTGCAGGTATTATTACTATTAATTAAGATATTCAGTATAACTAGGAATAAAAAAATGTAAGACAATTATTTTATATCTTTAGACCAAGATGTAGAAATTCGAACATTGGATGAACAGATTGATCCGCGTTTAGCAAGATTAGATCAATCTTCAAGAGGACCACCGCAAACCCAAAAAACTCCGATTACCGTACCAYCAATTAGAATTACTACTGCTGACCCTAGGGTATCTCCTACTACTTTTACTCTACCAGAAAAGTTASTATATTATCAATACTCAATTATCATTTGTATTAATTAAACAATATATTYAAATATATATTATTTTTTGTAGCAACCTTCCTGTARTAGAAGRAGTTGAAAGGTATTGTTAATGTTTTCAAATAATTAATACCTAATAATTCTCATTTATTATATTAATTTATTCTTTTATGACTTTTTAGCTTTTACCGTGATCTAAGAGTTAATGGATTTGGTAGAGATCCAAAAGATTYAARAAATCCTCGTATGTCTATTGATCCAATAATCGCTAAACYTACTCGTAAGTTTTTATATATRAATATTGCAAATCAATATATGCAAAAGATTTTAYAGATAAATATMTATCTTATATAMATKYGATGATYTTACAGCTCCTGTAACCGTARAACCTTCTATCAYAMMAAGCACKTYCCATCATATAGYAGCAGATTTTACAGTTYCACCACCACCTGTGGTTGTTWCGAATACGAATAAMGGTGTACCTCCTACCACCGCTCTTACAACATCTACAAGTACTCCTACTTCYWGACTTATGAGGGGAATGTCGCCAGCAGCTAATATACCARACAGTRSGTTGGATAAAGAAAARGTATGTWAAAAKACARCTCTCTCAATGATACACAACAAAAAATATTTCTATATGTWTCAAAATAWYWATTTATTTTTACTTRTAGTYAGAATTMATATCTATGGTATTACTTTTATCAAACGAACAAATGGCCATGCTTCTACCAGAACAAAGGCAAAGTATTTTACTTCTTAAAGAACAAATTGCCAAAAGCCATCGTTAACAATATATTATATTTGTATTATCCTTTATAAAAGTTTACTAGTCTATAGTATACTAGTAATTTTCTTTATAAAATTAATATAAAATACTCATTTATAAGAGAAGATTTATTACGCTTACTTCACAATAATGAAAAAAGAAAGAAAGAAGAAAATGAAAAATATAATTTTCCCTGTCAAGATAAGATGTGTAGATATTGGCGGCTTTTGAGACACACACACACACACACAAAGTGCCGCTTAGATTATAGACTACTACACTACTACTATAGCTAAAGAAATATATATCTATGTGAAATTTCAAACTGCTTTTTTTTTAACAAATAGCTCAAATATATACGCTAAGTTTAAAGCCATAATGAAAATTTTCGTGAACTACCACAATTATGCAAGATATATAAAGAATCGGTGGACCAATCGGGAACTACCTGGCAATCCTGTTGTAAGATATGTATATCAAATAGCRAGTAGTATAACAAGTGCTCASAATCAGAGTTAGTAGTTTACTATTCATAATTTTTGAGAATGTGCTTACAGTAATATTAACACTGAAACTATACGGACAAAGTMAGTCGAATTTACTGATTCAAGAAAAGCTAGTTTCTATTATTTGTATATAATTTTTTTCAAATATAAATATTTTTAATTTTAAGTATATTTTTGTCAACATTTTGTTTAAACAAAATTGACGTTGAATGGATATTTAAAAAAACTAAGTTTTGATTGATTATTTTTTATTTTTTTTTAACTTCAATTGAATTTATATGTGCCAGTTAAAAATACTACTTCAAATGAAATGAGTCTCTATTATTAAAATATTATTTAACAATGTACCTATTTGTATTATTAATTATGTATTTTTATACCAATTTTTTTAAATTGACATTAAATAAAAGTTACAAAATATGTAAATAAACACTTATATTTTTTTTTAAATTTCCTTTCAAATATTTAAAGTGTTAAATTTATTTCCTGCCTGATTGTCATTTTTCTTTGTTATGAATTTTTCTCATTGCATGAAAGCATTTTGAAATAGTCTTTGAAGTAACACTTAACGCTTTTCAAAGCTCTAAAATCGTTTGAATTGAATTTTTATTTAGTTATATTTGCAATTAAAAATTTGTAAAAATTATTCTGCTATCTGAGACCCTGTTTTGTCTTTTACATCAAAATAACGCTTTTGAAGATGTTTAAAGAGAATATTAAGAAATCTAACTGTTAAGATAGAATCCCTTCCTACAAAATATGTAAGGATGAGGAAAAAATGAGGGATAAAGAGTGTGWGTGCKTGTGTATGCAGGAACATTTTGGGAAGTTTCTATAAGAGTCAAGTAAATGCCTTTATTTRGTGCATGCAGCAATTGAATGTGAATATRAATGTGAATATGAATGCGCATGTAATAGCGKCGCGACTGAAAGAAAGCGAGCGCGTTTCATCGTGTTTGAAATACTACATCATYAGATAATATTGCTTTGTGCATTATGAATGCTCCTAAGTCTGCGAATATTCTCGGTCAGAAAGTATCGAAAGATCCAGTCTTTATCTTATCCGAAATGGTCTAGAGATTCCGATAAAAAACATAGGAAGTTGCGATTACCAATAATAGGTATATAAAAGCGACGAACTCTCACACTTATAAATATGATTTTGTTACAAGTGTGTTACATGTATATATGTTACCGCTAAAGCTCGAAAACAGTTTATGTACAAATTACTAATTTAATCTGTAGATTAATGGATATGCTTTTTAAAAGTGCAGAATCAAGAGTTTTTTTGCAATTTACTATCTTACATCTTGCTATTTAATGAAGAAAAAAAAATAATTTTATATCGCGCTAATAAGCATAATATTATCATATGTTTTAAATGCATATGCTTTAAATAATATGTGTAAATTCACTTCTTTAATTTTAACAATAATTTCAATCATTTGATTTTTTTAATATAGGTTTTTAATTGATTAGTGATTGATTCTATAAATTAATTTTTTGATCGTAATAAACTTAATCTTTTAGATATCGAAAAATAAATAAATAATATTATATTAATTTATACAATTACAAAAACATTGCTGTTGTTCCAGCAAAAATCTTATTATAACTTTAACGAGTAACTAGTAGGTAATATGTAAAATATCTGAATATTTAACAGTTTATCCAGGAGTTAAGCTTATCACGTAATATACACTTAATTTAAGCGGTTCTTTGTATACACATGGATTTCTTTTTACTTGAAAAATTATTTTTATTGTAATGTTCTAGACAATTTTCTGTTTTTATCTAATATGCTCGAAAGTTTCGTAATCGAAGGTCAGGAATTGTTAGCTTTATTATTGTCAGTTCCTAAGCCAGTGAGCTTCGTGGAAGTTGGTATTAGTATCCAATAAGGAACAAAGTTCGCATATCCTAAAAACGATTCGTTGTTGATGGGAAGTAACCGGTTAAGGGAGTGGGGACCAGCATAGGTTTATAAATAAGGTCAGAAAGCGAAGCGTGCCATTTCATTCGTTGGTAGGTCTGTAATTCTTTTATATTAAATCTGTGAAATTTTTAATCAAGATTGATCAATGATGTAAAAGTATAAATTTAACGATAATCAAATTTGAGATAATATATTTTAGTAAAATTAAATATTACTCGCGACTAGAATTATTTTATTATTGGCTATTGAAAATGTGTGTGTGCTAGAGGTCCAATTCACGAGAGCTACTACAAAAAAGGGTAAGAATCTTATTTAAATTCTTAATAAATTGCATACGGCATTTTATTATTTCATGGGACACATATTTCATGGTGCTCTTTTGCGTTAATTAANATCATCAGATAATATTGCTTTGTGCATTATGAATGCTCCTAAGTCTGCGAATATTCTCGGTCAGAAAGTATCGAAAGATCCAGTCTTCATCTTATTTGAAATGGTCTGGAGATTTCGATAAAAAACATAGGAAGTTGCGATTACCAATAATAGGTACATAAAAGCGACGAACTCTCACACTTATAAATATGATTTTGTTACAAGTGTGTTTCATGTATATATGTTACCGCTAAAGCTCGAAAACAGTTTATGTACAAATTACTAATTTAATCTGTAGATTAATGGGTATGCTTTTTAAAAGTGCAGAATCAAGAGTTTTTTTGCAATTTACTATCTTACATCTTGCTATTTAATTAAGAAAAAAAAGGTAATTTTATATCGCACTAATTAGCATAATATTATCATATGTTTTAAATGCATATGCTTTAAATAATATGTGTAAATTCATTTCTTTAATTTTAATAATAATTTAAATCATTTGATTTTTTTTATTATAGGTTTTTAATTGATTAGTGATTGATTCTATAAATTAATTTTTTGATCGTAATAAACTTAATCTTTTAGATATCGAAAAATAAATAAATAATATTATATTAATTTATACAATTACAAAAACATTGCTGTTGTTCCAGCAAAAATCTTATTATMACTTTAACGAGTAACTAGTAGGYAATATATAGATTATATGKGAATATTTAACTGTTTACCCAGGAGTTAAGCTTATCACGTAATATACACCTAATTTAAGCGGTCCTTTTTATACACATGGATTTCTTTTTATTCGAAAAATTATTTTTATTATAACGTTTCCAACAATTTTCCGTTTTTATCTGATATTTTTGAAAGTTTCGTATTCGAAGGTCAGGAAGTGTTTCCTTTGTGATAGTTCCTAAGCCAATGAGCTTCGTTGACGTTAGTATAAGTATCCAATAAGGAACAAAGTTCGCATATCTTAAAAACGATTCGTTGTTAAAAGAAAGTAACCGATTAAGGGAGTGGGGACAAGCATAGGTTTATAAATAAGATCAGAAAGCAAAGCGTGCCATTTCACTCGTTGGTAGGTTTGTAATTCTTTTATATTAAATCTGTGAAATTTTTAATCAAGATTGATCAATGATGTTAAAGTATAAATTTAACGATAATCAAATTTGAGATAATATATTTTAGTAAAATTAAATATTACTCGCGACTAGTATTATTTTATTATTGGTTTTTGAAAATGTGTGTGTGTGCTAGAGGTCCAATCCACGAGAGCTACTACAAAAAAGGGTAAGAATTTTAATAATATTCTTAATACATTGCATACTGCATTCTATTATTTCATGGCCTACATATTTTTTGATGCTTTTTTGTGTATATTAATATTACTTAATTGTATAATATTAGTATAATCATAAAATTCATTTTCGTTAAAAGTATTATTTAGTATTTAAAGCTGTTTTCATTACAAATTATAGTATACGATTTTTGAAATAACCAAATGCTGAGCAACAATAAAAAAATTTATAAGGTACGGTATATAATATACATAGGWAACCCTCCTATAAAACGGGAGATARGTTCCTAGAAAATTCCGTGTTRTGTAAAATCGTGTTGTATGAGACTTTTGTTTTTAGGCTAAAGAGATAAAAAAAATTCTATCCGCAACACTGTATTTTTAAGACGGCAAGTCTCTTCGCAGCTGTAGAAGTACAGTGTTGGGCAAAGTTTTTTTTGAAAGGAAACTGTGTTATAGGATACCGTGTTGCAGAAGGGCTACCGGTATATCAAATAGTAAATAATATATATGTATATAAGACCAAAATAGGAGTGTTTCAAAAAGAATGTTCAAGAATATCACGAGGTGTTGTTATGAAAAGAATTTATTACTATATTAACTTTATTTTCCTATATACAGTATTTACAAAAACGAACAATTTAATATTATCTGAAAAGAAAAACGACAATTATGCCTATTCCTCACTTTTAACACTCACTTTCCTAGTCTATTAAATCTATCTCTCTTATTTAAATATTAAATCTGATCTATATACGTTACGTCTTTCTTTCCTTTGTCTCTCTTATCTATATATCCAATCTGGTCTATACACATAAAGTCTTTTCTACTACCTGCTTACTTCTAAAATCGCGCGTAATTCAACGGAAGAAAATACACTTTCTTTACATCTATATATATATAAAGTATAA